GGGGAGCAAAAAATCCCCCCCCCCCCCCCGTAGTATAAAACTATAAATTAAATAACTAATCCAAAGAGAAATAAGGTTGATAGACTCATTCACTATTGAAGTCGGCCACCCATGTTCAGCTTGATAAGTTGATAAGTTACTAACATAACATTTCAAAACCACAAGACTACTAAGAAAAGAAGAAAAAAGTGTACCGTTAATATTTGTTTCCCTTCCTAGAATGTTGGCGGTAAGGACGAAGACATTCTCAACCACTCAGTGAACCATGTCCAGACTGAGGTCAAGAAACATCGGTCATGTGAGAAGTGATCTAACATAAACTCAAACAGTCTTAGACTGGAATACTATGAAATCAATGACACAGCTTTTAAAAAAAAATAAAATTACACATGGTATTCTGGACCACTCACATTCATGCATAACACACTGTTTTATTATCATTAATTTCATAGTGTCCCAGTCCAAAGACTGTTGGGAGCCAAGTAGCTTGAGAGTCTAAGATTTTTTAAAGGTTTTATATTTTAGTAGCTGGGGAGTCTAAGACTGTTTCCTTGTAGCTGGGTATAAGACTGTATCATGTTTGTATCCTAGTGGCTGGGGAGTCTAAGACTGTATCATGTTTGTATCCTTGTGGCTGGGAAGTCTAAGGCTGTATCATGTTTGTATCCTTGCGGCTGGGAAGTCTAAGGCTGTAATCATGTTTGTATCCTAGTGGCTGGGGAGTCTAAGACTATCATGTTTGTATCCTAGTGGCTGGGGAGTCTAAGACTGTATCATGTTTGTATCCTAGTGGCTGGGGAGTCTAAGACTGTATCATGTTTGTATCCTAGTGGCTGGGGAGTCTAAGACTGTATCATGTTTGTATCCTAGTGGCTGGGGAGTCTAAGACTGTATCATGTTTGTATCCTAGTGGCTGGGGAGTCTAAGACTGTATCATGTTTGTATCCTAGTGGCTGGGGAGTCTAAGACTGTATCATGTTTGTATCCTAGTGGCTGGGGAGTCTAAGACTGTATCATGTTTGTATCCTAGTGGCTGGGGAGTCTAAGACTGTATCATGTTTGTATCCTAGTGGCTGGGGAGTCTAAGACTGTATCATGTTTGTATCCTAGTGGCTGGGGAGTCTAAGACTGTATCATGTTTGTATCCTAGTGGCTGGGGAGTCTAAGACTGTATCATGTTTGTATCCTAGTGGCTGGGGAGTCTAAGACTGTATCATGTTTGTATCCTAGTGGCTGGGGAGTCTAAGACTGTATCATGTTTGTATCCTAGTGGCTGGGGAGTCTAAGACTGTATCATGTTTGTATCCTAGTGGCTGGGGAGTCTAAGACTGTATCATGTTTGTATCCTAGTGGCTGGGGAGTCTAAGACTGTATCATGTTTGTATCCTAGTGGCTGGGGAGTCTAAGACTGTATCATGTTTGTATCCTAGTGGCTGGGGAGTCTAAGACTGTATCATGTTTGTATCCTAGTGGCTGGGGAGTCTAAGACTGTATCATGTTTGTATCCTAGTGGCTGGGGAGTCTAAGACTGTATCATGTTTGTATCCTAGTGGCTGGGGAGTCTAAGACTGTATCATGTTTGTATCCTAGTGGCTGGGGAGTCTAAGACTGTATCATGTTTGTATCCTAGTGGCTGGGGAGTCTAAGACTGTATCATGTTTGTATCCTAGTGGCTGGGGAGTCTAAGACTGTATCATGTTTGTATACTAGTGGCTGGGGAGTCTAAGACTGTATCATGTTTGTATCCTAGTGGCTGGGGAGTCTAAGACTGTATCATGTTTGTATCCTAGTGGCTGGGGAGTCTAAGACTGTATCATATTTGTATCCTAGTGGCTGGGGAGTCTAAGACTGTTTGTATCTCAAACCTGCCCCTGAACATGGAGGAGATCAAGTTACTGTACCTACTTAAACCACATGGTCATGTGACCAAAATTTACTTTATCAAGCACAGGAACACAGGGGCCTTTCAGGTAAACTGATCATTTAGAAAAGCAATTAAAGCTCACCCTTATACAAAATAAACAGCCACATCAAGGCACATTCTCTACCTGAAAGAATAGCTAACAAATAGTTTAACTCACAAAAGAACAAATATTTTTTAAATTTATCTTCAATTATGCCAGATCTATAGTGACTTTAATCTTTCAAACATTCAATCAGATTTCAAAATATAAAAATGACAGGTACTCATTGTTTCATTGATACAAATAAAATATGCTTGTAGAAATGTCTAAAGAAATGGAATAATTTGACATTTGTGTTTATTTATTATCAAACCAAGTTTAAGAATAAACTTAGAAAAATGTCCATCTTCCAATTGATATAAGGATTTTTAAATATTATACTCTACTCCCATATTTATCTTTTTATATTTATATTGGCCCAACAATTGTTTTGTTTGTTTGTGAAATGCATACATTTATATTTATAAAAGAGAGCCTGTTGAATAATTCTGTTTGTTTTTTGATACAGAAAAATAATGAACTGCTATATTATATTGTGTCTAGGTTTTTAACATGATATAATTTTTCTTTTTTAAAAGTATGAATTGACTGTAATTAATTTTATTATGTTCATGCATCAATTATCTTCTGTAATGGTTTTGCTTATGTTCTCACAGGGTATTGCTTATATAAAGTTTTCTAAAGAGGAAGATGCTAAAATGGCAGCTAAGGCCCTGCACAAGATGGAGGTGGATGGTCATACAGTGTGTGCAAGAATTCACTCAAAGTGAACCAAAAAAAAAAAAAAAATCAGAAATCAATGAATGTATCTTACAAATCTATAAAAAAAATATACTTCAAATACATTTTCACATTTTTTCAAAGTAATTTAATCATAAGTTTTCTAAAGAGGAAGATGCTAAAATGGAAGCTAAGGCCCTGCAAAAAATGGAGGTGGATGGTAAAACAGTGTGTGAAAAAATTCACTCACAGAGAACCAAAAAAAAAAAAAAAATCAGAAATCAATGAATGTATCTTACAAATCTATAAAAAAAATATACTTCAAATACATTTTCACATTTTTTCAAAGTAATTTAATCATAAATGAATATAAATGTTTTATCACAGATAATATGAAATATTAATAAAATGACATAAATAAATTGGTGGAGGGACAGTTTAATAAATTGGTCTCAGCATAGATGAGTCTAGAGATGACATTATTAAATAATATTAGGGCTTGAAG